TTGGTATTTTTCATACTAATAATGGTACCGAGTATTTCAATGAAATTCTTGGAAATTTTTTTATAGAGATAAGAGGATTCATCATCAATCCACTTATGTTGATACACCTCAACAAAATGATTTAGCCGAGCAAAAAAATGACACTTATTGAAAGTAGCTCGATCTCTTATGTTTTCCATGCATGTCCTTAAGTATCTATGGGGAGAAGTAATTTTAACCGCAACATATTTGATAAATAGAATGCCTATCCACGTACTTAAATTCATTACTCTTGAGTGTTTTAAAAATTTCTTCCTTGAAAATCGTATTTCATCCAATTTACCCTTTAAATTATTTAGGTGCACAACTTATGTTCATTTACCCAATAAGGATTGTTCCAAGCTTGATACGAGGGTTGAAAAATATGTTTTTATTAGCTATGCATCAAATCAAAAAGGATACTAGTGTTTTCATCCAAATACCCGAAAAGTTTTAGTTACTTATGAATGTTTTATTTTTTGGAAATCAGCCTTATTTTCAAAAGAATTTTCTTTAGGGGAAGAGTTTAGAAGGATAAAATAGTGGGGACATCATACTTATTTTTACTACTTTACCTCAAACAATGGCCTCTACACCTAGTATTTTAAAAAATGACAAAGCAATTTCTACTAATAAGAATATTGTTTTGCCAAAAATTACTAAATATTTGACAAGGAGAGAAATACTATAAAATAATCCTAAAGATTAGGAACTTGAAGTCATTATTTATGCAAAAAGAAAGAATCATCAAAAGGGTAAAGAACTCGTTATTCCTTCGACACCTAGTAAATCCATTACCTCGAATTCAAGTATTTAAGATACTTTTCAAAATACCGATTCTCTTGTTTCACCTCCTATTTTACCCAATACGGGTTCTCATGAATATTGTGATCTTGATGTTCTTATTGCACTTAGAAAATGAACTTATTCTTGCACTAATCACCTAATTACAAAATACCTTTCTTATGACCGTCTCTCTCAAAATCATAGGGTATTTACTTCAAAAATCTCTAACTCTGTTTATTCCAAGAAATATTCGGGAAGTATTTAATGATCCAAATTGGAGAATAGTTATGATGGAGAAAATAAATACGAGTAAAGAAAAATGGGACATGAGAGATTGTAGAAGCTGTCCAGAGATCGGAAAATAGTTGGGGGTAAATGGGTATTTATTGTGAAATGCAAGACGGATGGTAGTATAGAGAGATACAAGGCTAGACTTATGGCTAATTGGTTTACTCAAACATATGGTGTTGATAACTATTAAACCTTTTCCCTAGTAGCCAAAATTAACTCTATACATGTTTTATTGTATCTTGTAGTTAATTTCAATTTGGTCTTATACCAACTAGATGTGAAAAATGCTTGAATGATGATTTGGAAGAAGAAGTCTTTATGAGTCCGCTTCCTAGTTTTGAAGAGTTCTTTGGTCAAAACAAAGTTTGTAAACTCAAGAAGTCATTGTATGACCTCAAACAGTCTTCAAAGATATAGTTTGGGAATACTTTAAAAGGATATAGGTGTCACTAAAGTTAGGCGGATCATATTCTTTTTTATAAACACATTGATAAAGGGAAAATATCAATCCTTATTGTATATTTCGATGACATGATACTAATAGGTGATGATCTTAATGAATTAGCAAGATTGAAAAAGAGACTAGTTGAAGACTTTGAGATTAAGGACCTAGGAACATTGAAATATTTTCTTGGCATGAAATTTGCAAGATTATGTGAAGGAATCTTTGTAAATCAAAGGAAATATATCCTTGATTTATTGAATGAAATCAATCTTCTAGGTTGTAAGGCTATTGAGATTGCAATTGAGGTTAGTATCAAACTAAATTGTGCTAAAATTGAGGATGCGATTGAAAATGAAAAATTTCAGCACTTACTCGGGAAAACTTATATATCCGTCACATACTCGTCCCGATATAGCATTTATAGGTAAGCATGATAAGCCGGTTCATGCATACACTGAGCCATGAGCACTTTGAAGTCGCCTATGGGATACTAAAGTACTTAAAAGGGACTCTTAGAAAGGGTTTGATGTTTAAAAAATGTGACCATTTTCGGATGGAAGTCCATACTAATACCGACTAGGTTAGTAATGTGACGGACAAGCGATCAACATCTAGATATTGTACATTTGTTAGAGGAAATTTAGTTACTTTGGAGAAGCGAAGCAAAATGTTGTAGCATGAAGTAGTGGTCGAAGCAAAATTTAGATCCCTTGCACTAGGGATTTGTGAAGCTATGTGGATTATAAAATTACTAGAAGATTTGAAGCTTCTTGAATCACTTCCTATGAAAATTTATTTTTATAACAAAGTTCGCCATTTCAATTACTCATTATTCAGTTCTTTATGATCGAAATAAACATATTGAAGTTGATAGGCACTTTATTAAGGAGAAACTTGAAAGTGGGCTAATTTGCGTTTCTTATATTTCTACTTCCCAACAAGTGGCTGATATACTCACCAAAGGTTTACTAAAAAAACAATTTGATTTTCTAGTAAGCAAGTTGGCAATGGAAGACATTTACAAATCACGTTGAGGGGAGTGTCGAATAGGAAATATTTTCTTTAGAATATTCTGGATGTATTATAGGTTGTAAAAATAGAATTTAAAGCTCTAATCAAAGAGTTTAGAAAAATTTATAGTTGTAATTTCCTTGTTTATAATTTTCTAGTTTAGATGCTATATGTAGCTATACACATGTAAGTTGTAATACTTGTAGAAGTACGCCAATACTATCAATATTTCTTGATTCATATCGGTTTATACAAACCTTCTAAAAAAATCAATCAAAAAATTAAATTCATGTGTTTTATTTGATTCTTCTTTATATAATTAAAATTTATCAAAATTAATTTTGTATTTTTTTCTTATTTTAGTTTATTAACTTTAATATACTATTTCGAATTTATTTGTTTTTTAAATATTTTGTTATTTATATCGCACAATCTAAACCAACTAAGTATGGTCGGTGATCTCTCTCTCTCTCTCTCTCTCTCTCTCTCTCTCTCTCTCTCTCTCTCTCTCTCTCTCTCTCTCTATATATATATATATATATAACTGTGATAATTGATTTTATTATAAATTAATTATGAATCTACACATATAACACAAGTCATTTGTTATTCTTTTTTTAACATTCTAAAATCATTTTTTTTGAAATAAAATAATTGAAATAATATTTTAGGATAACCATCTAATAATTAAAATATAGCTTTTGTATACTAATATCATTGATTATTTTATAAATAAATATATGTAAATCATATATATGTATTTGTTTTTAAAATAATATTCTCATTATAATTAAATAAGAATAAAAATATTTATTTGTTAATTTTTATATTAATTATTACTTTATTTTTTTGATGCAATCTTATAAAAAATATATCAAGGCATTCTCTCTCTCTCTCTCTCTCTCTCTCATATATATATATATATATATATATAACTAAGATAATTGATTTTAGTATAAATTAATTATGAATCTATACACATAACACCAATCATTTGTTATTATTATTTTTTACTTTGTAATTTTTTTTGACATGAAATAATTGAAATAATATTTCAGAATAACCATCCAATAATTCAAATATAGCTTTTTTATACTAATATCATTGATTATTTTATAAATAAATATATACAAATCATATGTATGTATTTTTTTAAAATAATATTCTCATCATAATTAAATAAGAATGAAAAATATTTATTTGTTAATTTTTATATTAATTATCGCTTTATTTTTTTGATGCAATCTTATGAAAAAATATGTTAATGCATTTTTTTAAAAATTTTGGATTAAATATTCTCTTTATGTTATTGCAAGTTCTTATTTAAAAAATCAATATATAAAATATCAAATCATGTTTTTTAACTACAATTTTTTTGAAAAAAATAAGAAAGAATATATTATAAAATTAGATGATTTTTTTTTAACTTTTAATTCAATATATTTTAGTAAATCTGCACTATAATACATGCTATCAAATTAAAATTATTTTTCAAATGATTTCACATGTTCTGCTTGATCGATAGCATAGCACGGACAACCAACTAGTACCATATAAAAATAATACTATTTATCCAAGGAAACATTAGTAATAATAAAATATAATTAAAAATTTATTTTGCAATGCAATGTCAATTTACATAAAACAAACTTAATCAACAATGTCATCTATTTTAAATTGTAAATTTAACATTTAATTTATTAATATTTTTTTTATATTATGCCAGGAATTAATTTATTTATATTTATCCTTTAACTTAACTATAAGACAAAATATATATATATATATATATATATATATATATATATATATATATATATATATATATATATATAAAGAGAGTTAATTTAGTCACTTCAGAAATTTTATGGTGTGAGAATAACATTAAATTCAATAGAAATAGGGAGACCCTTAACTTTTTAGATCCAGCTAGATCGAGCACTTTCGCATATCTTTAAAAGAAATAAAATAACATCAGAAATAAAATAGTTAAATATAAGTAAAATAGAAAAAAATTATGAGTAAAAAAAATGAAAAAAATTGATGAAAAAAGATATTATTTTTTAAAATAAAGTAATATTGAATTGAACGTGGTTAATGCTTGTTAAGAAATTAAATAATTAATTTTTGAACACAGGAGACTAATTAGTTGTTTACAAAACAATCAAGGGACTAATTGATAATTTATTCCAACAGAGATAAATAAATTATGTACGAGTAATAGCAGCAGCATTATGCTATGGTCAGGAGTAGTTCGCTTCCTTTGCTCTTAGCGAGGATGCTATCATCTTCCCCTTCTACCTTAAACCCTAACCCTAAATTCCTAACTTCCGTGAGACCAACCGCTGAAACTCTCAATTCCTCTCACAATCACAATCACCCTCTACTCTTCTCTAATAACTCTGAAGTTTCTTTTTCAAATACACACAATCATAGTCTACGTCAAAACATGACAATCACCAAATGCTTCTCTAGGTCTGCTCGCACCGACCCATTTATAATTACGGGCACATCCGGGTCTAATAATCCGAACTTGGAATCAACTCTCGTAGTGGTGTCTTTCTACAAGTTCGCTGATTTCCTTGACCATGCTGAGATGAGAAAGCCTTTAAAAGAGCTTTGTGAGGAATTGGTACTTTGTTTCTATCAGTGTTATTTATGCAGTGATTATTTTATTTTTATTTTTCATGTGAATTTGAATTGTAATGTTGTAAATTTGGGATTTTTTTTTTTAAAACTTTTGTTACAGGCTGTTGTTGCTTGTTAGTTGGCTTTCTAAGTGTAATGTGGCATGAAGGAAGTCAATCTTTGAGATTTTAGGAATCATAAATGTTGCCTTTGAAAGAAATTTTGTTTATCTATTTAGGAAGTGGGTTCATTTAATTGCTGATTCTAGCTAAAAGCACATCCTTTGGGAATCTAAAATCTTGCAGTTGTTACATATACTTGCTTTACCTGGAGCAATTTTTTTTCTGCTTTTAAATAAAAAAAGAAATTGCAATAGGAGATATCATATATGTAGCCAAACTTCTAGTGTCTCGGATTAACCTTTTGTTGATTTGAATTTAGCAGATTTTAGAATTTTGTTTTCTTGGCCTTGTAACTTGCACTTCTTTCACATTGTCGTTCTCCTGGTCAAGTGCATCCATTGTGTTCGGACCTCACCAAGCTGATGCTTATCAGCGTGTTTCAGGTGGGATCATTCTTGCACCAGAGGGAATCAATGGCAGTATCTGTGGGACTCGGGAATCAGTGGAGAAAGTTCTTGGATTTATCCAAACTGATGACAGGCTAAAGGGGTTAAGACAAGTGGAGTCACCTGTAAGTCCTGAGGAGGAAGCTATCCATCACGGACACACTAGCAGTTCTCCTCTTGCTGCAGGTGAAGATGCACCCTTCCGTTGGGATCATGTTAGGGTCAAGTTGAAGAAAGAGGTATTGCTTCTTAAATGGCAGAATTTTCATTTTGATTATGGGAAATACAACTCTTGTATTTTATAACGATGGTGTTCTTATATTGTTCTATTTTTCTTTATGAATACGCAGATTGTTACTCTTGGAATGCCTTCTGTCTCACCTACTGAAATGGTAGGGAAGTATGTGAAGCCAAGGGAATGGAATGCATTGATTAGTGATCCGGATACAGTGAGCATCTTATCGTGTTATTTCAACTTTTCTGTTGTTATAATTTACCATTATTCTAAGATGCGGAGTTTGTGAATTTGGATATTCAACTAAGACTTACTCTCAAACTATTTTGGGTTGGTTGTGTTTGTGAGTTGACATATGATGGAACCCTATTTCTGATAATTGTCATCAAATTTTCATTTCTAACTACTATTTAGGCCATGCATAGTGCAAGTTATTTTTTTTTATTTTTTAATCTCTATCAATTGTGAAATAACTTTTGATTGAGATGATACCAGACCATATTCCTGTGAGTTTGATGATGCCATTCCAATTATTTAAATTTTGACATGGTTAATGTTTGACATTTTCTGTTTTAAGTATATTTATTAAGTGGATGCATTTGAGGTTTTTTGCTTTTTATTCTTTAACAAAAACATAAAAAGCCTGTCAATCTTAGCTTTGTTTTCTTGCTCAATGCTGAATTTATCACTCAACAACACCTGTTTTTAAGCTGTTGACAGATGATGTCAAGACGTTTTTGTATTTAAGATTGCAATTGTGTTTTTCCCAATCAGGCTAGTATTGATTATATTATGCAGATTTGACAGTATTCATGAAAGCTTAAGGCTACTACAATAAAAAAATGTTTCTAAACTTTCAGTGCATCAAATCAAACATGATTGTTAAAATTAGATCTGGAAAGCTCCAGAGTTAAGTTCAGAATTGAGTTTGGGTCATTTTGTCTTTCTTTCTTTGTTTTCCTCCTTTTTTCTTTTTTTTTTTTGTCTTTGGTTTGATGTGTTTGAGGTGTTAGTGTACGTAAGTGTAGTTGGAGTTTAATGTTGTAAGTTTTTTTTCCCACTTTCTTCTGTTATAATCTTGTTATTGATCCAACTCATAGGTAGTAATTGATGTGCGAAATAACTACGAAACTAGAATTGGGAAGTTCAAAGGAGCGGTAGATCCATGTACCACAGCATTTCGTGAATTTCCATCTTGGGTGGAAGATGAGTTCCAACATGCAGAAACTGATGGGGTGAACTGTTCAGGTGGAAGCCCTGGTAAAGAAACAAAGAGCCGAAAAGCGAAAATGCCACAGAAAGTTGCAATGTACTGCACAGGAGGAATTCGTTGTGAGAAAGCTTCAAGTTTTCTCCTAAATAAAGGTTTCAAAGAGGTGATTTCCTATTTGAATTCTTTCTTCTGCTATACATTCTGATAAAACTGCTGGTTGTACTGTACCTTGTGGTTCCATGATGGAGTTGATATTTTGATTAATTTTATAGTATGTTTGGGTTTCAATGTTTTGATGAATCCTCTAATCAGGTACTATAGTAGCAGCAGAGGCTAATTTCGTTTTGTTTTCGAGGTTCAGGGTTCAGAGTTGAAACTTAGTTATCTAGTACTAATTTTTGGTTTTGTGTCGAGATATATACATTGTTTGTTGTAATGGTGTGGCATTTTTTTGTTTGGAACAGTGTTAGCATTTTTTGATCCATCAATTACAATTTTTGGCCAGGTTTATCATTTGGAGGGTGGGATTCTGAAATACCTTGAGGAAGTTCCAAAGTCAGAGAGCCTGTGGGAGGGCGAGTGCTTTGTTTTTGACAAACGAGTCTCAGTTGAGCATGGTTTGGAACAAGGAACTTTCAAGCTTTGCTATGGATGTAAGCAACCAGTCAGTGGTGCTGACATGGAAGCCTCGGAGTGGGAATATGGAGTTTCTTGTCCGTATTGTTATTCATCAAAATCTGAAGAAGAGAAAGAGAGGGCAAGAGCTCGGCAAAGGCAGTTTGAAACTTGGGGCATTATCGGAGGTCCTGATAAGGGTCGGCGATCCGCATCTAAACCAGATAGTAATAACAGTAATACTGAACAGCTTTCAAGTTCATTTTAGCTAGTGTGGAACATGAGATATAAGATGGATAGTTTTATTGGAATTTGCCTTCCAAAAGTTCATTTGTTTCTTCTCTTTTAAGAGGACACTGTTTGTCCATTTTATGAGTACTTAAAATGTTTCTGAAGAGATGTGTAGTATGGGGATCTCAGAGCGACCATTTGTTTTTGCTCAAAGAACACCAAGAATAAGTTGAGGAAAAAATAAAAATAAAAAGGAAGAAAAAAGAAAACGGCTCATCTTAGGCTTGGGAATCGAGAATGATGAAAAACTATGATAAGGAGGTTATTTTACTTGCAAATTGGCAACAAGAGGAGATGGGGAATTCCTGTAGCTGATATCAGGCAAGAAAAAGGATTTAACAAGTCATCTTTTGAAGAGTGATAGACCAAAAAAAAAAAAAGAAAAAAGAAATTTATCCAAACGCGTAAGAATATTTTCATCTTGGTTTAATTTTTTTTTAATTTTTTTTCTTATTAATTTTTTTCTTATCCTACAATATAAAATTTCTCATAACTTAGGCTTGAATTTTAGTTAGTTTAGGATCAAGTTTGCAAATAGACATTTGTTTTTTTTTTTTTTTTTGGGTGCAAGTTTTGTCAGCCTGGAAGTCCATCTCCAGTTCATTATCAAATTTTCAACTAAGGATGCGTTTGTTTTGCGAAAACGTTTGCTTTCAACAAACTTGTAATTAGTTTGGTCCGTGTCTTCTATATGTTATTTTATTTTTTATTTTTTAATGAATATGTTAGTTTTTATTAGCATTCAAGACTTGAAAAGAATTCTATGAAATTAATTATGATTTTTTATTTCTATTTTTTGTCAATAAGGTAAATCTATAAACTCAAGCACCTAAAGAGGTGAGGTGGTGAATGAGGTGTTTTAACAAAAGCTAAACTTTTTTTTTTTTTTTTAAAAAAAAACCTCGAAAATCACATATTAATCCATTTGATCAATAAATTAGTAAGCACTTATTCGGACCATAATGAAACTGAATGCAAATATGGAGGGTCCAATGATCACTTTCTAATTGCAGAACAATCCAACGGTGTGAAATCAATCAGATGGGAAATAAAGCATTGGGTAATGATGTTGACAACAAACATTTATTTGGTTTAATAAAAACTCAACAATTAGGTTTCCAACAAAACCGAATTCATTGATTGAAGAATTGATGGCAGGAGAAACTGCAATGTTCAAGTTCTTAAGTCCCAGACGCCGTCCCCAATCCACCGATATCCAAGCCGCCGCCTTTTGGGGCGTAGCAGCTGGCTCCACCGCTCTATGGATCGTCCAGGTTTAGATCCATCTCAATTTCGATGCCATCTCTCTCACTCTCTGTTTTTTTTTTTTTTCATTAATTAACAAAATTTGATTTCTAATTTTTTTGTTCATACTTTTTTGTGGATAAATGAGAAGAAGTAATTATATTGAAGATGAATACGTGCTTTTTATTGAAGTTAAAAAGGTGTTGTTTATAACTTGTTTGGATCTTATTATGGCCTTTTATTTTGATTCTTTTTATGGGTTTAAAGAAATAATCGTTATTGGGTTTTTGAATTATATCTTATTATAGAAGATTGATAAGAATTTTCATGGAATAGCCATGTTTTTCTTTTTGTTCATTCTATATTATGTTATGTTATGTTCTGTTTTTACCGTCTGCTGTTCCTAGTATATTTACCCGTTTGATCAACATATTGGGCATTGTTGTTAAATTTCGAGTAAACTACCTTTTACATGACTTAGTTGATCTCGTGCTCGAAATTTTTGAATTCTTCTAAGGTTGTGATTTGAAGATTAAAGAAATCAAGCTTAGGGGTGTGTGTGTGTGTGTGTTTGTCTATATATATATATATATAATTTGGACCTGAAATTTAGCCGAACTTAGAACAAAGAAAAATAGTCAATGGGATTGCCCTGCTTGGCATCTTTTTTTCTTTTTTCCTCCTGACTTTTGATTATTGATTGGTTGAACTGGGGCAATTTGAGGTTCGATTCTTGAATAATCTACATCTTTTTTGTTTCTATTGTAACCAAACGTCTTTTTATTTCCTTTAATGTGGAAAGTGCCAAATTATGATTTTATGCATGGACAATTTTGCAAATATTGTGTTATATTCACAAGAAAATATTCAGAATATTTTCTTTGTATGACTGTATTCAAAAAAACGTTTTTTGTAAAGATATACTATTTCGCCAATTGAGTTACATATATCTAGCAAGTTCATACCTAATAATTTTCCTCAAAGTGGTGGCAGAAGCGTCTACAAAACTTTTCATTTTCCAATTTGATCTGATCCATTTGTTAATAGTAGAAATTGAGTCTATAATAGAAATTTATATTCTATATAACATAGGCATAATTCTAAAAAATAATGGATTCACATGAAAGGTTTGGAATATAATTTTAGGGCTTTAGAAAAAATCTCTCTCTTACCATAAGCTTTTAGGGCATTAGAAAAAATCTCTTTCTTACCATAAGCTTTTAGTAGTATGGTCATAATCTGTCATCACGCATGACAACATACACTATTAGAAAGAAAAAGGTAAGAAAGAGGAAAAATTAAAATCTACTAGTAATTGGATTCACACTCACTGCATCTAGAAATGCTTCATGTATGTTGACTTTTTACAATGTTTCTGTCATTTGATTAGTTGTTATGATTTTTTTCCCCCTTATTAGTAGCTTTTTTTGCAAGTTTTCTTTTTTGCTAAGCCCACTGTTTCAATTCTTTGTTTTCACCAATTTGTCAGAAAAGCCTCAAGATTATCAATTCAGTCAATTAAGCACTTGTATTTTCAATTTCAATCAATTGAGTATAGTTTTTTAAAATTGAAAATTTATTTCAACCAATTACATTTTTATCAACTTCCCTTTCATTCATGTCAATATCATATAATTCATCCCACCCTCTTGATTAAGTAGTTCCTTATTCAATCTAGTCAAATTGCACTCAATTGTCTGAAATATAAAATACAGGGTGAAAACACAGGTTGTAAGTAATGGGTTTAGCCAACTTATTATTATTATTTTTTTTTTGGCAAATGGTGCACAGTGGCTTTTGAATCTGAACGACTGGCTGTCCATGTATGAAATAGAGATGCTCTTGTGTCTCTTTTTGTGAGAATTTTCAGTAAACTACCCTTTACGTGACTTAATTGATCTTGTGCTCTAAACTTTTGTATGCTTCTAGGGTCGTGATATGGAGATTAAAGAAATCAAATTGAGGTTATTTTGAAATAAAGGACATATAGTCTTGCATAAAGCATAGAATAAAAATAAAATAAAATAAAATAAGAAAAAAGAAGAAGAAATTTAGCAGAACTTATAACAAAGAAAAATAGTGAATGGGATTGTCCTCATTCATTAGCTTGGCATATTGGTTTTTGACCCCAGACTTTTGGTTATTGAATAGTTGAATCCTGGCAATTTGAGCTTTGATTCTTGAATAATCTACATCATTTTTTTTTCTATTTTAACCAAATTTTTTTTTCCCTTTAATGTGGAAAATGCCGTTATGAAGAATTATGATTTTACGCATAGCCAATTTTGCAATATAGTGTTATATTCATAACAAAATATTTTCTTTGTATGACGGTATCAAAAAAAATGTTTTTTTGAAAAGATTTACGATTTCACCAATTGAGTTGCATGCATCTAGCATATTCATACCTAATAATATTCCTCAAAGTGGCGACGGAGGCTTCTAAAAATCTTTATCATTTTCCAATTTGATCTGATTCATTCGTTTGTAGTAGAAATTGAGTCTATGATAGAAGTTTATATTCTATAACATAGGCTTTATTCACAAAACTAATGGATAACACACAAAAGGTTTGGAACATAATTTTAGGGAATTAGAACGAATCCCTTTCTTACCATAAGCATTTATGATATGAACATAATGTGTCATTATGCATGACTACCTACACAATAGAAAGAAAAAGGTAAGAAAGGGCAAAATTTAAAATCTACCAGTAATTGGATATATGTCGAGTTTAGACAATTTTTCTTTCTTTCCTTTTTAGTAGCTTTTGTGCAATTTTTTTGGCTAAACCACCTACCGTTTTCACCAATTCGTCATAAAAGCCTCTATATTATCAATTCAATCAATTAAGTATGTGTATTTTCAATTTCAATCAATTTCGTATAATTTTTAAAAATTAATTTCAATCTAGTACTTTCTTTTACTACATGAGTCATTATTATCAACTTCCCTCTCATTCATGTTAATTTCATCATTCATCCCTCCCTTTTTATTAAGTAGTTTCTTTTCAATTTAGTCAAATTGTACTCAATTGACTGTAGTAGAAACTACAAGGGCTTAATTAACTGAATTGATAAGAAGGCTTTTATGACAAATGGTGAAAACACATGGTGCAAATAATGGGTTTAGCCAATTTTTTTTTTTGGGTAAATGGTGCAAAGTGGCTTTTGAATCTAAATGACTGGCTGCCCATGTATGAGAAAGAAATGCTCTTGTTTATCTTTTTGTGAGAACTATGGATGGAAATATGCTCCTGTAGGACTACCTGCTGTTTTTTACCCGGGGAATTGTTTTATCAATCGTTATTGTTGATTGTACATAGGCTAAATTAAATATCTCAATAGTGTTATGCGATTTCCTGTTTGTCCTTAGAGTCACTTTGTCACAATTTGTAAACATGAAGCCTTAACATTTTAATCGTTTCTTTTCCAGCCATTTGATTGGATTAAAAAGACCTTTTTGGAGAAAGAAGACTCTGAAGGAAAGTGAACAAGAACCAACTTATTGGTAAAAGCTTTCTGATTTCTTCCTTTAGGTTGCTGATGCAAAGCCATAAACAGAGTTGACATAAATAATGTTGTTTCATTTTGTACTTTATTGATGAGGCCTGTTTGGCATTATTCTTGACCGATCGTTTGAGAATTAAATGTTTTTGTTTCTTCTTATACCTACTTTGGCTTGTCTCTGTCCCCCACTCTCTTCCCAATGTGCAATGCTTTCAATTTCTTGAAAGATAAAATAGAGTTAAAACCTCTGTAAATATGCCAAAAGTAAAAGGAATAGCAAGGACCTCGTAAATCAAGAGGTCAAGTGTTTTGTGGTAATTCTAAGCGGAGAAAGCTTGAATTGTTTCTTTTTCATCTTTTCTTCTTACACGTTGAAAAGTTGCTCAGTGAAAAAATAAAAAGCTGAGAAACCAAGAAAAGAGATCAAAAACCGTTTGATTTCCAACTCGATCGAGGTTTCGTATTTGATTAAGACCAAAATCCTCCTAATTCTCAGACTGTTAAAGCATATACGGTAATTCAATTCTGAATCAGCATAGCTGTAAACCGTTGCATGGCATGTCACATATCAGAACCCCCGGATGACATTCTCCCAAGCACAACTTTGGTGCACCAGATTGAGATTCTTTTAGACCCTGATTTTGCTAATCTCATCTCTCTAATATCCTTTGGCTTGAATTTCAAGATGAACCTGATAATTTTGATGAGGTTGGAAGTCTCTGTAAAATCTCAATCTGAAGACGAATTTGGGTCGATCCATTCATGTACCGGCTTGCTTTCTGTTTTTCAATGCATGCTCTTCGCTTGCAGACTTGTATTAAATCCTACGGCGGCCGAGTGCATAAGCCTTGCTTCCACCATGAAAATGGAAGGATTTACATCAGGATCCACGGGAGAAGGAAGGAAGAAGGAAAACTGAGTTGCAGATAACTGGCAGTAGCACCTAAGAGATATTAGGGCTATCCGATTATTTGGTGATCGTTTCGAGATTTGGTTTTCTAATGGTGCATTTGGTAATGATGAATGCTTACACTGGCTCGATCAGGATTTAATTGCAGATCCTAATCCTATTTCTTTAACTCAAAAAATACGTGTCTTTGATTAATGGTAATGTTATTGTCTTTCAGTTTTTACCATAGTTACCAGATTCGTGAAAAGGCCACGTTTTCTGATTTGGGCCAACACTATAATTAAGCCCTCCGTTTTTTTGTTTTTAAAACATAAAACAAACTAAAACAAAACACTCCGTTACTGTTTCAAATATTATTTACATACTTATAAATCATTATTTTTTTTATTATTTATGTTTTTTTTAATACTGTTGTCCTCAATTTTTTTTTATATTTTTTTTTCAATTTAAACTTTAATTGTATTGTAATCTGATCCTATTTTGTTTTGACATTTTTTAATTATTTTAATTATTTAAAATTTAATACTTTAATTTGTCATTTTTTTTTAAATTTCTCATCTAATTAATTTAAAATTATTTGGTCCTCAAATTCTCTCTCTCTCTCTCTCTCTCTCTCTCTCTCTATATATATATATATATATATATATATATAATTTTAAACTTTAATTGTATTGTGATTTGGTCCCATTTTGTTTTAGTGTTTTTTGTTGATTATTTTTATTATTTAAAATCTACAACTTTAATTTGTCATTTTTTTTCAAATTCTCATCCAATTAATTTAAAATTATATTTAATGACAGCTTTTGATTTATTTTAATATTATTCATTCTTTTGTAAATAAATATATAAAAATTACATTCATATTTTTTTTTCAAAAATTGATATTCTCATCAACATTAAATAAAAATAAAAAAAATATTTGTTTAATTCTATATGAGCTTTTAATAATTTTTTCGACACAATCTTATGAAATACTAAAGCTTAAAAAAAAATTTATTTAATTTTCTTTAATTTGTCTTTTTTTTTTCAATTTTTTTTTCATCCAATTAATTTAAAATTATATGGTCCTCAATTTTCTATACATTTTTTCTTTTAATTTCAAACTTTAATTGTATTGTGATTTGATCCCATTTTGTTTTAGTGTTTTTTATTAATTATTTTTATTCATTAAAATTTATTACTTTAATTTTTCATTTCTTTTAAATTCTCATCTAATTAATTTAAAATTATATTTACTGACAATTTTGATTTATTTTAATATTATTCATTTTTTTGTAAATAAATATATAAAAATTAAATTCATATTTTTTTCAAAAATAGTTATTCTCATCAACATGAAATAAAAAAAATATATTTTTTCAATTTTATGTAAGCTTTTAGTAATTTTTATTTTTGTTTTTTTGACATAATCTTACGAAATATTAAATCTTTCTCTTTAGTTAATAATCAATGAATTAAAAAACATAAATCCTTTTTATAAAAAAAATTATGAAAAACATAAATATAAAATAATTAAATATAAAATTTTTGATTAAAAAATTATATTTATATATGATTTTATATATTTTTATAAATTCTCAGCATAAAATAAATTATTAAATTAAAATAATTTTATATATTTTATTTCATTTGTAGCGTAACGAGGATAAAAAAATCTCTTTCCTTTATTATATAGGATTGTATCTGTTCTTTAGTTAAAATGCCATGAGAAATGATTCAAACATTGCATTTGAATATCAGAAATTTAAGAAAGACAGATCAAAGTTTAAGCCGTAAGAATTCTCTTTCTATTTGACAGAAGGCATGCACTAGAAATTTCGGTGGCCAAGACTTGAATGGATCATGTTATTTGCGTATAAAGGCTAACCAGTAACATCAATCAACACCGCTGCGTTCGTCAGGCATTGCTTTGGCTTCCGTTTGGTCAAGCAGAGTCTAGATGTGAAATGACATAATGTTAATGCCAAGTGTGTTCATGTTTGCCACAAAAAAACAGACAAGCCAATGAGGAAAAAAGAAGCAGCAAATCAATGATTATATATATTAACGAGGACAGCATGATCTAATATATGTATAGACGAAGGACATCATATTCTAGATTCATGGCTTGCAGAAACTATGCTTATTCTTTGGCTGAGGTTCTGTTGATTCATAAACAAGAAGAAGAAAGAAAAGAATAAATTACGAGGACAGGAGCAGGACATCATGAGTTAAACAACATTATCATAGTTTGAAAATGACTTGTGATTACAAAATCACAACTTAAAATCAAGATTGGTGATGAGAAGGTGTGCCACGTTCCTTTAGAGCAGTGAAAACTTGAGAACTTTTGTCAAAAATTTGAGCTCTTCTGTTGTAATCAGTAGGTTCTCTTCCCTCATCATCTCCCATGATTGCTTCTCTCTCCAAGCAGTCTAACAGCTCCACCATTCCTTTCCTTTCTTTACATTTCTCTCTCAACTTTCCCATTTCCACAATCCAATCATCTTTCCCTTCTGGGTTCATTTCAGCCTCCAAATCCCTTCCCAACTCTGCCAAGGAATCAGCCGAACCGCAATGACCACATCTAGCTGCCACCCCAAGATTCAATCTTCGGGACAAATATAGACCTTGATCAGGCTTCTCTCTGAGTTTGAAGCTTAATCTAGTCCATGGAACAGCAAAACTTTGATGGGGTATTGTTTTTGGCAAAGGACTTGATGAACAAAAAGGTTGTATTCTTGTGGGAGTAACAAGCGTTTCCATAGTTAGCGGCTCCTCCTTTTGCTGTCTTTAAGGTTTTGTTGGACGAGGTTAGGCAGGTTGGCTTATATAGGAGGGGCTTAGGAAGTGGTCCCCCACCAACCGATCCACGTGTCACTGATTGGTGAAAGATAAGCACGTGACGCACAGAGGAGGGCACGTGTAAGTATATGGTTGAGGCTTCTAGGCCTGGTGGCACCTCAAGATTTGAAGGGAAGATAAGGCACGGACATCCATGAGTGAAGGCCACGTCCTTGTCATGTCCCCAGAAACACTTTTGTGTAAATTGCCCTAGAAAGCGAATGGATTTTGGTTTGCACTTACGGTAGCGGTTGCAATTTTGTACAAGAAAGTGAAAGTCAGGCAAAATTTATTCCATTTGAAGAGTGGAAAATTCCACGCATCCTGTTTATCTCAGGAGATGGCGGCCATTGCATGAAAATGAAGGTTCCTTCGAGGCATAACATATCGACATTTCTTCACATGGCTGATCGTGACATTTGAGAACAACACGTCAGAAACTTTTGTTCAAAGCCAGACATTGACATGGGATATTGCAAAACAGAGGTAGCTAGTTTTATTGAAGATTATTATGATGTGTTTTTATACAAACCGGAAAAGGAAGTCTATTGACCATTCAATTCTTTAGCTAAAGTTGAAAAAGAAGATAGTGCAAGGTTGAGTCGAATGGAGTGGCTAATGTTTGCCATTGGGCAGGAAAGGAAAGGAGGACAAAGGAGAAGTGGAGCTACCTTATTTATTTATTTTTAACTAGTCTTTGACATCAACACAGCAAGAGTGAAAATAACGGCTAAAGAGAGAATCTACAACGAATTCCTCGTTAAGTTACAGAGATCTAAATATTAAAAAAAGGGGGCATTTTCCATACATTTATATACACCAATAAAACTTTTTCATAAATGACTATACAAGCTTTGGTTAGATAATCTACGATGGTGTGAGGAGACATTCTCCACTTTGGAGATGCAACAGGAGCTGCTTGTTGGGAGTGAAATAGAAAGAAGATTGTTTCACTGTATTTCCATTATGAGGTTTGGTGTTCGATGTAAAAGAATGATAATCACATGAAAATTTCATGCTGTACTTTCCTTGAGTCTCCTCTCAGCTGCTAGAGCGGCAGCCACAGAAGGGGGCAGATGTCTTAGACTTTCAGTTGGATTTCCATCACTTTCTGGTACAGTGGATGGCACCGTTGTGAATAGGGACTCAACATCCTTAAGGGTCAAAACAGGCTGATCCTGATTCTTTGTGTTCCCACTTATGAATGAACTGGTGTTTCTACTTCTGTTCAGTTTATATATGCTCTCTTCCACGGTGTCTTTAACCTAACATCATATAAGATAAGAGGGAAAATTTGATCAGAACAAGTACAGGCAATAATGCAATGAATTCTAGTAAACTAGTATTTTGAAAGAAAGGACCAATCTTATGTTTACTTAAGCACAGAGAATATCACACACACAAATTCAAAAAAGGGAATGGGATTGAATAATTTGTTAAAGGTTTAATGGCATAATTTACCACCAAACTATTTGGATTGTGGCAAAATAAGACATATATTACCAATTTAATAAGACATATATTAATAACGTGGGGCCCAAAATAGGATAAATGTTACCAATTTAGGCTATTTGGACCCCACATTATTAATTTCTGAGCAAATTTTACCTTATTTTTTTGTTATGTATGATGGTCAAAGTGTTGATTGTTAACTGAAATGCTTAAACCGTTTTAAGCATTTCAGTTAACAGTCAACACTTTGACCATCATACATGACAGGAGGAGGGTAAAATTTACCCAAAAATTAATAGTTTGGGATCCAAATAGCCCAAATTGATAATATAAGTCTTATTTTACCACAACTCCAATAGTTTGAGGGTAAATTATGCCATTAAATCATTTGTTAATGGAAAACCGTCAATGCTAGTCTTAGAGAGCGCCTGCATAATGCTTGAAAAACACATTTAAATGTTCAATCTCTTCCTAGCATGAAATCTTTTCCAATATAATATCTGAAGAAGGAAGTATACATTTTAATTTCTGAAATAATATAAAATGATTTGTGCAAGCAACAATCAGATTATTAACATGATAATCTCCTAAGATTCATAAGCCCAATCTAATTACATGCAGAAATTGCATGGATAAATGCAGAGCAAAACAGAAATGCAAATGAGTTAAAAAAAAAAAAAGGAAGTCAAACAAATAAAAGGTGTTTCCGTAAATACCCAATACTATCATCAGAGTGGTGACTATGGTGAGGTAATGCATCTCAAAAGCATGTCTACTATATGCAATGCTCAAAAGAGAATAGAAGCATGTGCATGGAATCCAAAATTAACTTAATAAGAAAAGGGAAAAGAGCTTACTATAAAGCGATGGACTAATGTCCTTTTATCCTGCCCAATTCGGTGCACCCGGCTGACAGCTTGTGCCTCTGCTGCTGGATTGAGCAGTGGCTCCACAAGAACAACATGCTGTGCTTCTAATAGATTGAGTCCATTTGCTCCATGCTGGATTAAGAGCAATAACACTTGAACAGATTTTGTTTCCCCACGAGTTCTTTTGGGACTGCTATTCTGTGCTCTGAATTCACTGATGGCAACATGTGATTTCCTGCATTTACGAAGTCATAACCAAATGACATGATTAAACATGAGTTGAAGTTCATAAATAACTCGATCCAATTATGAAATGTAAAATGCACTTCTAAAAGTATTTTGGGCGTTGGGAACCAAAGAGGTACGCATACATCCCAGAGTTTTAAATTTCACAGAAAACCAAATTTTTACAGAACAAAAATTGTTGAATTACTATGATTGGAATAGATGTTAATCTCTCACTCTTCCCTCCCCAATGTTAAATTACAAGATTTCGTTATTTGGACAAATTATGCAAGGCAGCTATTTTTTCACCCTCAATCTCTTTTAATTTAGTTTGTGATATCCCTTAGTACTTGTTAATGTAGTTTGTGCACTTTGCTTGTATAAGAATGTAGAAAACAAAAGCAAGCATTGGTTTCTTGGATGATATTCATAGTACTTATCAAAATAGTTTGTGCACTTTGCTTGTATAAGAATGCAGAAAACAAAAGGAAACCCTGTTTTCTTGGATGATGTTTCTTGATAATTTTGTTAGAGTTACCAAATTAAGAGGAATTCACCAACTATAATTTGGCAAACCCGAAAAGCAAAATAAAAATTCTCCTGCATGGCATCAGCCCTTTTCTTTTGGGCCATCAAGGTTCATCAAGATCAGTTGAACTATAAAATATAAATAAGATGTTCAAGAGATCTATCTACCTTCCTCCTTTCATCCGGATAAAGGTGATATCATTAGCACTGAAAGCATGCTCTAACACATCAAGGACATCATTCCAACTTGAGAATACTAGAACCTTTGCTTCAGGATCTGAAGACTTTATCCACAAGATTCTTCTAGTGACTGCTTCAACCTTTATGGTGCCGGAAAAAAAAAAAAAAGAAAAAGAAAAATGAATAAGGTTTATGCTCTGGGATAAGGAGAAATGCCGAAATACCCCCATATATAAATCCAATAAGTAACATGCTGTCTGTAAGACACTATGTGCATGTTCCTAGACTATGAATTTGATGCTCAAGGCATTAGATTAGGAAGCAAACCTTCGTTCCATATGAACCTTGAACAGCCAAAGATGCTTCAATTTTTTCACAGCCTTGAATTGCATCCAGCATGGCAGAACTATAAGGCTTTTCCTGTCTATCAACGGCATAAGCAATATTACCAAAATCAGTATGCTGTCGACATGTTGGGCACATTACCCATTTACGTTGGAACCTGTTATCATGCATTCTTTGCTCAGTCATTGCAAAAAAACCTGCAAGAAATAAGCATGAAATGGAAATTAAATGGAGCTGAAACTGGATGAAATATTTCATATGAGAGGAATCAACAGGCAAGAAAGGCAACTCCAATGTTCTTGAGATAGTTGAGAACATCTAAGAGACAAGCAAGCATGGATGTCAGAGCACATGTATGCAAGTGACGAAGAGAAGTTCAAGAAACTGATGGATCAATGATGCTGTGGAAAAAGTATTTATCATCTAAGAATGCAGTTGACCCAGTATAGCAAAGAGGAAAAATGCTGCCGTGGTCTCTCCTTCCAACTTCTAAGTGACAAAATTGCAGATATAGGAAGCAGAATTATCATTATGTTGTGTGGAAATTAGGAGAACAAGTAGTCTCTTATAAGATGGTTGACTTACGAGGTTGGATGCCAGTTTTAGCTGCATCAAGACTTCATATGTAGGGATATTTGGTTTGTTCTGTTTGGGATACCTATTGGGTCATTTGCTTCTTTCTATTCCTGCTTGTTCTATTAGATTCACATGTGAGAGCGGATTTAAAGTGGTAAACCGAACGCTAGTTGTTCTAACACTGTAATTATTTCCTTCTTTCACGAATGATTTTTATGGAAGCCGAAGAATACTGAAAAAGAAACAGGTAAAACTTACATTTACAGCAAGTAATGTGTCCGCATGGGAAAACCATCTTTTGATTCTTTAGCTTCTCTTGACAGATAGGACATGCTTCCTCATCATCTTTAGGTAAGCCTTCATTTATTTTCTCTGTTGTCATTGAGATGGCAGCCATTTCTTCAGTTGACATGGAATTATTTGAACTTTCAGATGTTGGTTTCTGTTTTGATAGTACCAAACCCTGAAAGTAAATCAGATAGTAAGATCAATGATGAAAAAGAAATATTTAGAAAGGAAAACAGAAAAAATTAAGCCACAAATGAATGTCACCAGCCAAAGTTTATTAATAGTTGTGCTGGCTGAAAAACACAAGGTGTCAACATTAAAATATTGATAAGTTGTACACTAAATTAGCTGAACAGTTTACAAGTATTACTTAGCAAAAGCTAACAAACAAAAGGCAAAGAGAAAGGCAGTAACCAGCATTTCTTTTTCTTCAAACTCTTGCTTTATCATAACTAGATACTAAAAATATCCCAAAAGAAAAATATGAAAACTTAGAACCAAATCGTTGACTCAGGAAACTGTTTTAGACTTGGTTTTAGTGTTATATCAGATGATATACTTGATAGTGCTTCAACTGGATGCCAGATCATTGCCATTTTGAATATGAAAAGAGTCACCAATAAGGCTATATATGAATGTTAAATAGTGAAAAGATGTAGACAAGGACTTCAGAAGCTAAGGTTGTGCGTTCCATGTATGCTTTCAGAAAATAGTTTTATGGTTTCCATTTCTACTTTTTCCTTATTTATTCTAAAATGATTTTTTCCATGGAAAATTAAGAAAACATGTTACTAAATACAAATTTTCCAAAAATTGGAAAAGAAGGGCCTTTTTCACTTACATTTAAAACAAAAGAAAAAAAAGACAAAAATTGACGAACTAAACAAGGCCCAATGGAGAATTTGGAAAAAAAACTTTTAGGTGTTTTCAGTTTTTCTAGAAAACTACAGAAGTGTGCTCCAAGAAAATATTTTTTATTTTCAATTAGTAAAAGCATTTTTATAGTTTTCTATTTCTTGGCACAAGTAACACAACCTACAGTTTTTTTCCTTATATCCTTTTCAGTTTCATGGAGATGAAAAGAAATGTCTCCTTTATTGCTTCATTCTTTTTAAGTGATTTGTTGTAGGTTAAATCTTTCAATGAAGTTGATTTGCATTAGATTTCATTGAATTTGCATTGCCTCGAGTCTTTGTCCCTACTTTCATCTGTAAAAGTTCTATCAATCACATTTGGGAGAGATGCGGTACAAAAGAAATCTGCACAAAAATATTTTACTGTAATTCAGAGAAACATAAAAATTTCTGATGAATATCTAAGACATTGAAGGAAGGGTATCACCATTTCTCTCTTTTCTTGAAGTGAATGATGACATATTATTAACACATAAAGGCAAATAGCAACCTTGGAGTGTGAGTTCTATATCACCATTTACTGAGGAGAAACCAGCAAGGAATAAGTGCCCACAATGATATTGCTGTAGTGATTATGCTATACATATTCATATGCATATAGCAGGTAAAACATATTAAATGGCAAATCTCATTCCCATCAATATCACTAATCCAAATAAAATGCTTCAGTTTTAGTTTTTCCATGGGCCTTAAAGACTAACTTTGATAGTTCAGCCTTATCAAAAATTCATAATATTTGCATATACAATAATACCCTCTTTTAAAAAGATGAATTCATGGAAAGTCAAACAAGAAGGAGAACACAATTACAGTACCTCTAAGTACCCAAGAAAGCAGCAAATAATAGCATATGATAATTACTTTAAATATAAAAACAGTATAATGCTATGCTGGTACCTTCAGATAACGAAGTTTCCCCTTGATACGAGACAGCAAGGTCAAGGACATGAACTTTTCATTTGAGTGTAGCACGCTAGCAGACTCTAATTCATCTGGGCCAAAAGCGTCAATAGATGTATCATTCTCGTTTTCTCTTAAGCGCAAACGTGCTGTTGCCATCTTAAGTTCATCATGAGCACGAAGAAGTTGAGCTTGAGCAACTGCCAAGGACCTTGCATGGCCATACTCCTTCCTCATTCCCTTAACCAAATAAAAAGAACGCCAGTTTTAACAGAAATCATATTTCTAACAGGCATGTGATGCTTGCATTCAATAATATTAGTGGCTTGTTCATTCACTACAGTGCTAGTTTAGAAGCTTCTGAAAAAAAAAAAAAAAAAAAAGCAAAGAATTGATCAGGCATACCTCCAGAATGTGTATCTGCAGGCTGGCAGATGACACACCTTCCTTCTCTGACTGAGCCTTGCAATAGCTCTTTATAACTCCAAGAATAACCTCCAATTCTGACGGCGATTTTGAAACCTACCAATTAACAATAGAATTTATATTAAATGCTCATGCTTGTTTGAGCATCATATTATTTTCCTGTGATAGAATTTGACAATACTAATTCCTGAGGTGCTTGCATTTAAGACTATCAGTTTCTCCTTGTACGTATAATCTAATTGTTGACATAGAAGTAGAACATGCTATCGAGCACGTTTGTGCACTATATATGTCATGATTCTGCAAATGTACTAGAAGAGCTTTTCCATCCATTAACTTAAAGCTTCTGTGTTGGACATTGCAATAAAGACAGACAGGCAAACAAAGATCAGTTGCTGGATTGCATGTTATTACATGCATTCCTCGTTTTAACAATTATGAGGGACTGCTCAGGCATTATGACAAAGACCTGATAGATGACAAAAACAAATATCCGATGACTGTAACAATGCTCAAGATAGAGTTTCACTTGGTATCTCCTAAACTTTAATCCTTAAGCTACTTCCGTCCCTGCATGTGCTGTGCCCCAAGAATCACAAAAAGGGGTGTCTAAAAACAACCTAGTTTACCGCCACTGGTGATTGAAATTTGACATGTGTTTAAATGAGATGAACCACCTATCTGTTGACTTATGCTTATATGTTGCAAGCTCTACTCAAATGATTGAGTCTTAAGAAATATATAGCCATATATGGAGTAAGATTTATGGGCTGGTCCACATAAGAACAGCCATTGGGTCTGACAACCCTGTATAAGAAGATGGACATGAGGAATCTCCAGAATTAAACATCTGGTAGATGAAATATGGTTTAGCGTGGCCTCTTGAGGTAAAGGAGCTTACCACCACAGTTTCTCCAGTCTTTCTTTTCTTTGATTCTTCATTTAAGTCACTAGATGAAGGTAAATTTTTCTTTTGCTGGGCTAAATTCCAGTAATAACGATTTCGTTCTGAGTTCCTTTTCTGCAGATTCACTGCCTCTTCAGCAGATGTAATAATGTCTCCATGTAATTTGTTAAGACGAAATAGCCTAGCTTCATAGCCCTGACAAAAGAATATGACAATGTGAGGATCACAATGTATCCCCTCTCCCCCTTCTTCCGTGTACCAAATAGTCAAACATCAAAGCAAACAGGCAGTAGGGTAACCAACCTGAAATGATTCCTCCAATTCACAATGAACACAAGTGGGACCATCGTCAATAGCTTGGCAAATTCGACAGTGTCTCACACGTTCAATATCCTCTTCCTTTGGATTCTCCATTGTCTGATCAATCTCCAAAAGCTGATCAAGTAATGTTTGTCTAGAAGCTTCCAATTGATCTAAACAAGTCTGGATATGGTACTTCAGAGCAGTAATGCTTCGGAAACTGAAGTGAGATTAGTATCAGTCAACTACCAAAATTAGAATTGATATTTGAACCAAGAGTACGCTCAACAGTTATCAATAGTAGTCAAAGGAATTTCTAACTTAGCTTCGAAATTGAAGGGGGAGATATCTTAACGAAAGTACAAAGCTTACATAATATGATCAAAGAAGTTGAAAAAGACTGACATATTAATGTATTGTGCATGCATAAAAAAATAATTTTAGACAATCACTAACCGGGATGCAATTCTTGACGATCTCGAGTTTAGAATTCCTGAGACAGCCTCTTCAATCTTTCTTATCAGCTCGATTGTGGAATCCTTGTTCTGCTCAGCATGACAGAGAGCATCCAACCACCAAACTGTATTCAGATTTTTTCTTTCACCAAATGCATTACAAACCTTCAAAAGAATTACAACCTTGCTTAAGATCAAACAATTGAAAACAAATAAGTGATGCAGAAAAAATAGCCAATACCTAATTATACATCCCACTTTGAATATGATAATGCCTATGAAATAAGTGTGGCATGTTTGTTTTAGATTTTTAACACAAACAATAATCATGCTGTGTTCATCAACTGTGCCAATGTTATATTCACCTTCGACACAGCACAACAGAACAGAGTGAAAAGCAAGCGTTCTACTTGCAGCCTACTGAAAAGTCTGGTTCAAATGGCTAAGTAACACCTCACTCACCCAAATAGATGACAGAGAGTTCAACTACCAGAGTAAAAAATTAAGGCCTACTACCATGTGAGAAAATACTAATATGCAAGAAAACGTGGTAGATGATGGCAAACAGGAAGGATTTGATTACGAATCTTCAACACTGAATCATGCTGCACCATGATGAAAGGGAAATTCCATTATTCCTCTGAAGGGGAATGGGTTTGAAGTGGGATTCTTTAAGGGACCATACAAGCAGGCTGTTAAAGATTTATAGTTTCTCCTATATCAGTGTCTAATTTGGGTGGGAGGTGTTGAATCATGCTGCACCATGATGAAAGGGCAATCCGATTATCCTCACTGAAGGGATATGGGTTTGAAGTGGGATTCTTTAAGGGACCATAAAAGCAGCTGTTAAAGATTTATTGTTTCTCCTATATCAGTGTCTAATTTGTGTAGGAATGAACTCAAATAGGAGTAATGTTTGGGGGCAAAGAATGTGAGAACTGGTAGAAAACAATTCCCACTGACCAAAAATGCAGAGAGCTTTTACATCTTGACGAAGTCCAACGAGCAGAAAATTCTGACAGTGAAATTTGTGAATAGGGTGAGGTTCTTGAAGTTGTATAAATCTATATAGAAACAAATGCATTTCCATTCATTTTGGCTATATTATACAAATTTGGATTGGCAGAAACATAATCCAGCATGAGGCCACTTATGGAGCTTTAGAGTTGCATGGGCTAATTGTTATAGGCATCTATATAGTTTAGCTTAATATTCAATAAAAAAGAAAAGATTTTCTAGATCAAATATATGCAGCCATGGGATATAGCACATGCAATGTTGTTAACTTTAAGAAGCAAAGGCATAACCACATACACTGATAATTGATATATACACAGCTATGTGTATGACATAACATTGCATTATGTGAAAGTTTATATCACGTTCCAACATGTAGGAAACATACCTGCGTGTACGATTTGTTAAAGTCTTGCTGAGCCACAGAAAGTTTTGAACTAAATACAGACAAGTATTTCTGTTTGAAGTTCTCACATACTGTTCTCAAATATTGAGTGCTGAAGGATGTGGATGATATGTCATGATTATCATTGCCTTTTTGTTCACCAATTGAGCAATTTTCTGATAGGTCCAATGAATTCCTAGCATCAATGGTGAGGTCTGAATGATCTTCACTACTGACTTTTTGTTTCTTTGCAGCATTTAGATCACATGTTTCAGTTCTGTACATCTTGGAAGCCTTCGCAGAACTTCCATCCAAATGTTGTCCATTAGAGGGGAGTTCTGTTGAGTGGTCGATAACCAGTGCAAGTATCTCAGCAAGGTTGTGATGAATGTGAATATTCAATAACGGATCTAGGCGGAAATCTTCAGAGTAATCTTGAGATAGTGCCAGCGCTTCTTTGTACAATGATACTGCTTGAGGAAAGTTTTGCTCAAGTATTGCTATCCCCGCAAGGGCATTTAAAGCAACAACTAACTTCCGCAGAGCTTCCTCCCCCTCTATCCTGGTCTTACCTACAAGAACCTATAAAAGTTCTCTATGAATAATAATAATGAAAATAAAAAACAACCACTAAAGATTATTAAAGAAATTTCATTAACTCTTTTTAGCATTTAACCCACCATCAATATTTCCTCCATTGTCATGGGGGATTGTTGCAGGGAGCGAATCCCGGAACTTCCTACTTGAGGGTGGCAGCAAGCTTGACGAAGCTTCAAGAGTGAGTTGAGTAGCTTAGCAGCTTCTGCATGGGTGATTAAAGGATCTGAGGCATCAGATGATACACAACCTGGATGAAATTAGCATGAAGATATTATTAGATATTGTATTACTAATACTATGTGCTTCTAAATGACTTCAAGATGAAGATGCAGGGCAACCATTAACAACCTGGGACCTTTCTTTTGAGAATATCATCTTTCAAACTTTCAACAACTTCACGAGCATAACTCACACAGGTTTCATGTTGCATCTGGTAAAAGTGTTTTTCAATTGCTGAAAAAGTGAGCCAAGAGACGCACTCTTCCTGAGGCGCTAGTTGCAACTCATCAGCAACATGTATTTTAGAGGAGCGCCACATGATTTGTTTGAAGAATTTATGTGTAAATTCCATAGCATCTGGATCTCTCCTCTGCAAATATGAAGATGCAAAACTAAGAAGATTGCCTAAAACAAAGATATCTGCAACTCAAAGTAGACTTGATACAACTACTCAAGGACTAAAATCAAAGTAGTTCACAGAGTCAGAGAATCAATAGTGAGCAGTAAAAAGTGGTTTAAGACTTCAAGAAAGAAATCTTTGATTACTCCATTTGTTTTCTTCCAAGTTAAATACTGCACAAAAAAGGCATGTCTTACTACACTCAACTGTAAAGTCACTACCAAGTACTTGATTTTCAAGAATCTCATACCTCATAAGGATTCCTTATAACGTCAATCCACCACCTAGAAACATTAAAGGGTTTTGCTTTCAGGAATCTTAGAAGTCCATATAAGTCATCAAGTTTACGCTGTATAGGAGTCCCTGTAATACACCAACGATGTTTAGTTGACAATCGAAGAGCCATTTCAGCGGCAGCAGCAGCATTACTCTCCACCATTTGAGCCTCATCCAAGCAAACCCTCCACCAAAATATTCTGGTTAGAATAGTTGGGGTAACAGGGTACCTACAACAATATGGCTAGTCATCATACTCATACAATCGGTCCAGAGAGCAAAATAACTCTCAACTACCAGGAGGTTTTTTCCCCCTTGAAATGAAGCATTGAAGAAAGTTTAAATCTTTAAAACTTGAATAGATTACTAATAAACTGAAATAAAGTTAGCAAGGATAATAGCAGATGTCAATGCAAAATAACATCTACAAGACATGTTTAACACCTAATCTTTAACTACCACTTCAAGCTACAGATAGAGGTTTTGTAGAAAGATATAATCTAAGCTCTAATTTATTTATTTATTTATTATTATTATTATTATTATTATTATTTTGCAAATTCACCGCTTTCTAAAACACGAGAGGCAATTTTTGTGAAAAAATAAAGGTCATTTTATCAAAAGCAACAACTACGGAGTTTGTAAGAACCTCTTCTGGAATCTTAGGATGTGCCGATCGCCTTCATGCCTATCAGAGTCATGCGAGAGGTCCTCTTTAAGCACATCATACGTTGTCAATACAATGTCAGCATTGACAAGTTGACCAATATCCACTACAGATGTATTTGAAAGAGATGTATCGCGTACACCTTCATAAACATAAGTTTTTAAGGAACCTGGATGCGTATGACTGAGAAAACAAATAATTACCAAGTCAGTCCTACAATCTTGCTGCATCACAAGAAAACTGTACAAGACCAAAATTTAATAAATTTCCAAAATGAAAAGGAAATTTTCCACATCAAATGTTTCATTCAATATGCAGTTCGTAACAGATTCTGGTGTTTTCATGTAAAAGAAGTGAATAGTTTGAAAATTACAAAACACGCAACCTATAGCTGACAATTTAGATTCCAATCTGAAATCATACATAAATACATGACTTAATGGATCCAAACATAAATAAGTATATTTGTCTACAAACCTGACCTAAATGCGCACTTGTGAACTAGAAAGCGAAAAAACAAACATCCACAGATTAGACCACCACTAGCCGTTTACCCACGCTATGTTGCGGGTCGGACAAAATAAAATTATTTTAAAATTTTATAATTTTTTCATAATTTTTTTTTAAATTGTTTTTCATAAGTTTTCTACTTAAAAAAAAAACATGATTTATTTTTTTTTATACATTGATTCTTAAATAAAAACTTACGATAATTTAAACAGGAATATTAATCAAGAATTTAAAAAAAAAACTTTAAAAATATTTTTTTTATAAGAATGTATTCAAAAAATAAAATTATAATTAATATATAGACTTGTACAAAAATTAACTAATAAAAAACAATTTGTCTTATTTAATGATGATGAAAAAATTAGTTTTTGGAAGTATATGTATTTGATCTATATATATTTATTTACAAAATAATCAATAATGTTGGCATAAAAAAATACATTTGAATAATTGGCTAGTTCTTTTAAAAAATCATTTTATTTCAAATAAATTAATCCTATAATATTTTAAAAAAAATATTCATAGCAAATAATTGGTTTTATATATGAAGATGTATAGTTAATTTTTAATAAAATCGATAATTCAACAACTTTTTTATACATATTGATACACCTAATAGATCGAGATAAATTATCCGAAACAAACTTTTAACTTTTTAGATTAAAATAATTAAATATTTACATATATGCAACTATCATTTAAAAATTTTAAAAATTTATGATATATATATTATACTAATTTATTTTTTTAAAAAGAAAAAAAAACCATGTTTTACAATTTTGATCTAAAATTCAAATTTAGAGAAAAATTAATCATATTTATCGATAAATAAAATTTTATATAAAAAATAATTAATTGAATGAGAATTTTCATTAAAAATGACAATTCAAATAATAAGTTTTACATAGTAATATAATCTAAAATATATGTTAATTTTAAAATATAAAAAGATAATGTGTGCATGTATGTGTGCGGCGTAAAAAAAATTAGAGAAAAAAATAACGGACCAGGCCCGTGCGACTGGGCTTGGATCAACTAGCCTGCGCGCCTAGGACTAGACTTGGGTAGGGGAAAAAAAATTGAATGGTTTTATTTTCTAGCAACTACAATTTTCAATGAGCTTAATTTCGTCAAAAAGTCAAGTTTCTTAATTTCCAACCTCCCAAAACCAAATTCAGCTCTATTATTGTCCAAAAACACCTCAAAATCACATAATAACATCAACAAACTTGTTTTGGCTGGTTTTATTTTTTGGCGACTTTGCAATTTCCGACAAGCTAAATTTCACCGAAAAGTTGGGTTTCTTAATTTTCGACCTCACGAAATCAAATTCAGTTATGTTTTTATCCAAAAACACTTCAAAATCACAGAAATAACATCGACAAACTCGTTTAAAACCTCAAAAACCATTTTAATTTACACAAAACGCAGAAGAATTCAAATCAAAATAAATAAAAAAACTCAAAATATTTCGAACTTCCGATCTACCTTCTCCAACCATATCATCATTGCCACCACCATAAACAGATTCTACTCTTTGGCGCGAACAAAATGGTGGCAAGCTCGACCATCACAGAAGCCGAAATGGGACTCATTGGCCCTCTCTCTCCCCTCCCTTCTCTCTCCCTTGTTTTTCTCTCCTCTTAGCATGCAGAGACCAAAATGGACAAAAAATGAATTTACAGATCGAAAAAACAATGCTAAAAAATCAGGGACCAAAGTGTACATTTTCAGACAAACAATGTATGTGCACAGTGAATGAATAGAGATTTTAGATACAATGACCAATGAATGAATACTAAAATGAGAGTGTGCATAGTAAATGCACACTGTTTTGAGGAGTAATTTCCAAATCTTTTGGTATTACTAAAAAATAGTAATAGCAATAGAGTTAAATCTTGGCACAAATAGACGGTATAACAAGAAAGAAAAAGAAGTTGAGAAGACTTTTTGCTTTGCCCCTTTGCTGGTGAATCTTATGTCTAAAATTTTAGAAATCTCATAACTATAGCTCATGACCAGCACCGGATTTTACATGGCTCAGCCAATCTGTAGCTAATAGATATTCAAAATATTGTCTCATGAGACCCTGGAAAGTACTGGGTGTTTCAAGGTTCAAATATCATTAACATATAGCTAATAGCAAGGAAATATATCATGTCACAAGCTTAGGAGTGCCAAAAAGTTAGTACACCACCTCATGTTGAAAAATGCTCACTTGCATCGTCAATGTGATTCATTTTTTGTTTCTTCCTCAATCCAAAAATTATGGTGGGGAAAAAAAAAAAACAACCCATCCATAGGTATGATAAGCTAAGAGTTTGGCAGCCATTGCAATAAAAACAGGAAGGAATGCTGAAATTTGCAAATTGCACAAACAGAATATAGTATGCAGTTATACCGTGTAATTTCAGAATGCCATTGAGGCAATATAGGAGCCGGACACACTATAAGAGTGGCACCGGTTTCAATGGGAGAGTCAGCCACTTCTATGAGTTCAGAGCACATCTGGCAAACATGTTTCCCATCCCTCTCAACATAGCTTATTGTAGTCTTGTTACTCTGCCTTTTTACCTCATCCATTGACCTCTTCTTTTTCCCTCTAGGTGAATAACCAACACACTCTGCATGTTGCCATGCATCACAGATGTCACACTGTACCCATAGTCCTCTATATTTATAACTATCACTGACAGCTCCACATACACACTCAACTCGCTCCCTTTTCAATCTTTTAAGATTAACCTTCTGATCCTCAGTATGTTGCCAAGAATGAGTAATAAAGGAACCATCATCATATGTAGACTTCCGATGAGCAAGGATGCAAGCAAGCAATTCAACTGTTTTCCCCAAACCCATCTCATCTGGGGTAGAAATAAATGATCAAAGTCAATAAACTAAATTCATATCATGTGCAATGTGCAAATAGTGAAACAATTCTTAGAATCTCTTTTATTTCTTTTTCTCCTATTGATGCTAAGCATATATGTCTTAGCTTGATAATATATCATTGTCTTTTTTTTTTTTTTTTTTTTTTTTTTTTTTGAGAAGGATCAGTCACTTTTTTTAATAATAACAGCTGAAACATTCAGTTTAATTACACCTCAGCAAGAATTAGGAAGAAAATGCTCAAGCAGAAACCAATCTTTAGCATATTCTTTCCTAATCCTCTTTCTCTAGGAGCGCCAAAGCAAGCTTTAGAATTCTGGAAAACCACTAAAAGAAGAGTCACTAACTAGTAAAAAGGGAGCTCATATAATTCTCCACCCTTAAATATTCATGGTCCTCATTCAGGAAGGATCAATTTATCAAGAAGTTGACTAGACTCAGAATAAAATGTAGGCAAAAAAAAAAAGATCACAAACTTATTCTAAAAGATTTGGAATATGTAGTACAAGGTATAGAAACAGACTTACCTGCAAGAATTCCACCAAAGACATGAGTTGAAGAAAATTCAGGATGGAACGAAACATTGCCACTGTAGACAATTTATAATAAAAGTCAGCGTGTAAGTGAGAGACGTACAAACAGAGACACACATACACACCCAGAGAGGGTAGGACTCTGCAATTTTGTCCCCTTCACTACCCATGTTGATTTAACAATATCACACCTGAATGGATTATAGAACATTTTTGAACAATTGTCGAGAAAATCCATGGGCATGCATAAAGGAGAACAGAACTGGCTTCTTTCCCTTTCACCCAAACTTTCTGAATCTCCTTTCTCTTGTTGTACCATCCAGTGAGCAGCACGACGCTGATATGGTCTCAAAGTGGGGAACAAGTCAGGGAGGTCATCTTCAAGCATAGGATTCAATCTGCACAAAAAGATGCATCAGTGATCTAAGTCCGGAATGAACATGAGAAAAAATGAAAAGAAGGAAAAAAAAAAATGACCCACCATACACTGGAGTACAAATACAACAGAGATGTGGAACCAAATAAATCTAATATATATGCAGTCGATCATGAATCATTACATTCTATAGAAAAGAACAGGCACTCACTTTGATGGCTTAATGGCTTCATAAAACCCAGCAACATCAAACCGCACATGTTTCCTAGAGTTGGAAGTATCCATTTCTGTTGGCTTAGCATCTCCATACCTAGCCTCTGAAGTCATCACTTCTGGGCGCAACCAAGCCATAACATTCATCATGCTCTTCTTCCATATTTGTCTTGTATTTTCGAGAAGAGATTCACAAGCATCAAAAGCTTTCTTAAGTATTTCCACCCTCATTCTCAGGGACGTCATCTTCTCTGAGAATTCAATCCCCAGAACTGGCCTCAATGACAAAAACTCCATGCTTGTCAAGTGAATAAGACCTGTAAGACCCTCATCTGGTCCATCAAAACTCCCTGATAAAATTACGGATTGCACTTCCCTATCTTCCACCATGGATTTCTCAATTAATTCCATAGATATATCACTAGAAGAAAACACAGGCCAATGTCCTAACTTAATACGAAGAAGAACAGACTCCTTGACATTGCACACCCGCAACCTTAATGAATACTTAGACTCCAGATAAAGATCTTCAGTCATTCTAAAGCCAGAATACTCTTCTCTTAAATTCAAATCTTTTAAAACAAGTTCAGATATATCACGGTGCTCATGCGAACCCCAGCTATTCCGTTCAACTTCCACATAATAAGGTTCCTCAACGCCAACTAACTCATCCTTCCCCACATCGGATGCTTTCCTCTGATTCAATTCAGCTTCAGCAGCAGCAGCAGCATTGTTTTGGATAATTAACCCACCAGAGCGGTGGGGACGGGCTTGCTTCCTTCTACCCATCACTAAAAGCAAACTAGTATAGAAACAACCAATTCAAGTAAGTAAACAACTATCATGCATTTCAAGCAAAACTTACAACAGATACTGAGCTCTGAAGTCACAACATTTTTTAATAAACCCCACAAAATAAATGCAAGAAGAAAGGATAATTACAACAGATTAAGCTCAGTATCAAGTGCAAAATTTCCCAGACTGTAGAAATCCAAAAACCAAATCTTACAATGCCAAACGGAACAGTTTAACAAATAAAACGTCACTGAATTGTCTTTCTTTCCTTTAAAGAAATCGAGTACTGCAATTGAATTGAATTGAGAAAAAAAAAAAGAAGAGATTTTTATGACAGCGATGAGGATGGGAGCCACAGCATTAATTAATGACAAGGAAAAACAAAAATTTAAGGTAAGAAAGACATGATGACGTACCTGCAAAATTTAAGCTAGACGTCTCTCTTTCTAGTCAGATCAAAAACAGAGAGACAAGCCTGCTTGCCTGGCTTGCCCGGGCTGCCTTCTCTTCTTCCTGCAAGCAAATCACGCGCGAGTTGTAATTTCCTTCAGCTGAGAGACACTGGCTGACATATCGGTTTTATAAAGTAAAATTACTTTAATACCCCTCAATAAAAGTTTAGCCGTTTCCTTTTTATTTCCCTCTTTTGGAAGACCCAATAATCAGATTAAAGAAGCAGTAGAGAAACCCTAATTAATTATTTTTAGAAGATGAAGGGAGGAAGGAAGAATTTGAAGAGAGCAGCAGTAGCAGAGGAACAGAATTCTACTCTTGAAGATGGCCAAAGCATCATGCAGGTTCTTTCTCTCAGAGGTTCCAATCTAATTGAGGTAGGTTTTAATTTTACTCATGACCGGATGATTAGATTAGGTTACTATGGATACTAATTTGCCTAAATTGATTTGGTTTGGGGAGTGTTAAATGGTGAAAAGAAGAAGAGGAAAAAAAAAGAAAAAAGCTAGGGTTAGGTATTTAGCTAGCCGGATACGGTCAATTGGGCAGCGGTGACTTGTGCTTGTTAACATGTCAAAAACAGACAGCAATTTCAGGAACTAAGCTTCGCTGGAAGAAGGCATCAAATGGCTCGTCATACAGTCTCAGAGACGAATGAGATGTTGTTTGGGAAATGCCTCATGAATTTTACTCTTTTTCGTCAATGGCAAGAAAATTACAAAATATGTAGAGCACGGTTATAAATCTATGGACAGGAGCAGCAATATCAGCTGCCATACTTGGAGCGATGATGGGTTTTCTTCTTTAATAACTATATAGGCGAGATAATGGATTGCTGCTACTATGTGAATTCATCTTGGAAATTGCTTAAAGTTTGCTACTTTTATATTTTGATTGAATTGGTGTTGGGTTTAGTGACAATTTGTGTTTGTTTTAAGGTAATGGATGCAAGAGGTGAGAAGTCACTAGCATTGTTTCCAGCTAAGTTTCAGAAGAGCATGTGGATAAAAAGAGGTTTGTTTTTTTTTAAAAAAATTCAAGTCATACTTTGACATTCATTTGGTTGTTTTGGTGAATTGGTTCTTGGATTGAATGGTTCTAATTTGACCTCCATGAATTGATTGGAGAAGATTTGGTAGTATTTAAATTGCATTGTTGTGCATGCAGGAAGTTTTGTAGTGGTTGATGAAAGCGGCAAGGAAAAGGCTTTGGAGTCAGGCAGCAAAGTGGCATGTATTGTTTCTCAAGTTCTCTTTTACGAAAAAGTCCGTGCACTTCAGAGATCTCCTGAATGGTCACTTTTTCTTCACCTCATAGTACTAGAATTAGTCAAACGATTCACCTCTATGATACAACTTCTGCATTCATCTAGTGCCTCCAATAGTTTAAGTTCAACATATATACTGCAAGCTTCTGCCAGTTGTTTGGCTGTGCCATGTGCATTTTTCTCTTTTCATTGCTCTTGTATTTGTTCAGTTTTCTTACTTCTGTGTTCTCCTGTGGAATGCAGGCCAGAGATTTTCAAATCTACAGCTTTGGATGATTCTAATGGAAGTCTGCACAAAAACAATGGGCAAATAGAAGAAAATGAGCTTGACTCTAGTGATGATGATGGTCTCCCACCATTAGAAGCAAATATGAACAGAATTAAGCCACCAGAATTGGAACAATCTGATACGGAGTCTGATTCAGGATCAGATATGGATTCTTAAGCTTATGGCATATGAAACCCTACCGGCAATAGAATCACGTCCAACATTGCATTTACCAGAAATGTCGATGAGGGGAAATATGTCCTTCCGGATTTACTAGTTGGTTATCCGTGCTATGCTGCGGGTTAGACATTATTGTTTGTTTCGAGCTGTTTTGTGCGATAGATTGCATATGAGGGTCCATTTCCTGAAGGAACTTAATAATACTAATTCTGTTAAATCTCATATTCCTCAGCAATATTAACTTCGTTAAAATCGATATATATGATTTCACAGCACGTTGCAGGCAATAAAAAAATATAAGAGAAAGATGTTGTCTCGCAATGACTACTTTTAGTTTATTTCGTTAATGGAAATCGATCTGAATACATCTAAAAGCATGAAAGGTTTATTATTTGTCCATGTGCAGCTCGTTCATTAGAGATATGCTTGCATGAATGGTCAAAGTATTTTTGGTTGTTTTATTTCTGAGTTGATAAATCCATTTATCAAATGCATGTGCACCAGAGATTGATAGACTAATATACTAATTCTAGCATGGATCACGTGCGAATGCCGTGGGATGAGCTACACGTAGTCCTTTTATTTATTTAATTATATAATGGTAATAATAAGATGGTAAAAAACAATACTCAAGGAGATTATTTTAAAATTTTCAGGTAAATATATTTTGTAATAATAAAAAATAAAAGGATTTAGATTGATTTTTTATAATAAAATAATAAGAAAGGATGATCATGTAAATAATGTTAAGAATTGAATTTGATTGCAGAACTTCTCTCTCACAGACTATGACAAGCCGCTTTTTGAATGAGGAATTATAAAGTTATTATATACACAGTTCAGATATAACAAATTTTTTTAAAAAAGGAATGCTGTAAAGAAAAGAGACAATATTTGCACCTAGTAATTAATAAAAATTTTCTCCGTCTCACATGCACCAACAGTCCCTACAGCTAAAAACGTTCAAAGAAACATATTATCTCAATCTCCAGAAGATTTTTGATATATCAACACAAAAAGATAGAAATATTACACATATGCAAGATGATAGTCTGGAGATTGATGTGCGGTAGATCTATATGTTTTAAGAGAGAAACTTTGTAGCAGCAACTACCGTCCGCCATGGCCTACAGTACCAACATACTGCTATGAAATTTCTGAAAAAAGAAAAGAGATGAAATTTGGTTTTCAAAAAATATATATATATAAAAATAGGTACTCCGCCCCCTGGATGCTAACATGATGTTTTTCTTCTTAAAAAACTCCATTATTAAAACATTATATAAAATGATGTCTTAAAAAATCAAAGCATGATAGTTACATAGCCATTCACCAATAATTAAAATTAAAATCCATACTTAGAAATTGTATGTGAGAGAGTCTAAAATTTTTTTGACAAATGATTCTTTAGTTTTGACTCAATAACTCATTTGATTGCCCAATCTCCTTTATCAAAGATCCACGCACCGTTCTACCACACATTTAGATTTCTTCTCCTTGCAACCAACTAACCTTTGTTAAATAAATCCATTTTCTTTCTTCTGATCAATGGCATCGTCATCAGAAAATGAAGTTGCCCATTTTTTGGGGTTTGCAAAGACAGCTATGTCGAATTATTCTAGCCACTCTTTGAAAAAATCCCACCATCTATGATCTAGTTACTGGAGTCCAATCTAAAGATACGATTATCATTAAAAAAGTTCAAAAAAACATGCTGGAAACATGGTGCTTCACATTGTCTGCCCTGTTAAAAGAATTTAATCCATTTACAATGCAGATGATAGAAGCTTAATAGAGATAATAAATACTAAATTACAGTTCAAAGTATCTGGCATGGTTTACGTATGTACACACTTATGTACACACAAAGCATTGAAGATACGTCTCAAAAAAGGACATCAGCTGCATAGTTCACTTATGTGCACACAAAATATTGAAAATACGTCTCAAAAAGGGACATCATCAAAAAAATTTCTTGCACAGGGTACATGAACATTAAGAGTTCATTCACCACTAGAAGAGGATGTTTTGGATGAAAGAAGGAAAAAAAAAAAAAACAATTAGTTATTACAAAAAAATGGCTTGAAAAACATGCATGAAATAGAGGATTAGAAGAAGCATACCTACTCTTACGTTTTTTGCCTATTCTTTTGGTGATTAAAGAAGACAATGGAGCATCATCTTCTATTTCATCCTTTGTGGGAGTGTGAAGATTTTCTTCACTTTTATTTGAAAGAAAAATATGTGTTTTAGTTGCATGAACTTAATTTTTATAAAATTTTGAAATTACAATATAAAGTAGTTTAGAGCTATTTCACATTTATTTATGTTCGTTGGTGAAATATTGTTTCAAAGGTTAATCTTTTTTTAGGAGTAGCTTGTAGCACATTTGGAGTGATTGGAGTGGAAGTGATACTCGATTTCTTTTGTCTGTAAGAGTAGTGGGACACTCTTTTGAGATAGGATTTGATAAGGAGGTTGGAGCAATAAAGTCGGCAGTAGCTATTGGGTGTGGGCGATCGGTGAGGAGCTGGTCAAGAGCTTGAATTGTTGGAATGTCCTCAAAGATATTGGATACCACTATGTCACAAAGATTTTTATATGGTCGAAAAGTTCCAAAATACACTTGGAACATCTTTACTTTTTCAAGCTTTTCAACTAGGTGACGAGGCAACTCATATGGGTTTTTTCACAATCAAGTTAAAGCAAGTGCTTTTGAAAATTTTTTTAGTTGTTTTTCCAATTGTAGGGAAGTCTCGCTTGTTTATTCTTGTCATCAACAACACGATTAACTTTGAATCTAAAAGCATAAGATTTCTTTAATCTTTTTGTTATACAAAGATAAGATGATGATGTAAATTTTTTTTTTTTTTTTTGGTAAATAAGCATTGAGATATATGTATATAGGCATATTTTGTTCTTTTCTTTCTTGCTTTCTTCTTTTTTTTTTTTTTCCAAATGAAGAGCCTTAACCTTACCATGGAATTGGAGCCTTGTTCCTTTGTGGGTGATCTTGGCAATTGAATGTGTTTCCGATTTCCTAACTTTCTTGTTATAAGTAGGGCAAGATTTGTACCACCAACGCCGGTGCAAATCATAGTCAACTATACTTACTCTATAGGTAAATTTCATTTCTTATCATGCATGAAAGCCAATAGTTTGAAAATGTTTCAAGTTTATAGAACAAAGGATAGTAAACATTATAGTGTGTGTGTGTGTGTGTATCTATATTGCATGAAGTCCATAGAACAAAGGATAGTAAACATTATAGTGTGTGTGTGTGTGTGTGTCTATATTGCATGAAGTCCATTTTTGTATAATGTAATTAGTTTTTTTTTTTTTTTTTTTTTTTTTTTTTTTTGCATGTTAGAGTCTTATGCAAAAGGAAAATAAAACTGTAATAACCTTAGAATTTATTTTATTGAAAAAAAAAACTATAAAATAATCATATTTAGGTATATGTTGTTATGCAAAGGAAAAAGTATCGGATAAAAGTTATGAACAATACAATTAATAGGACAATTTAGGCTTTGTTGGTTCATTGCGGTCTAGTACAACATTCAAGTAGACCTATCTTTTTGTTGTACTAATCTATTATTTAATTTTGGTGAACATAGTAATATTTTTATGTTTAATATGTTTTGGATGATAACATGCAAAAAGCAATTTTAATGAGATATATGAAACAAAAATATGGATACAATTTTTTTTTATATAAAATAGTTTTTTATTAATAGTGTATTATAGGAGATACAACTTTTAAGTATAAGGATCCATGTAGAGTAATTGTTGAATGGTGACTTGATTTGCATGCATTTGCCCTCCTCGATGAATGTTGGTATCCGTAAATGGTGGCAAAACAACTATTTCCATGGTAGATAGAGCAAAACTTGACAAAGAAACAACAAAACGAGTTTAAAAAATGTCATTAAAGTTACTAATAATCAAAATAGGAAGGGTATAGAAAATTACATATGCTTGAAGGAGTGAGTTTCGGGGATATCGGGGTTAATATACTAAGTCGAAGAGTTTGTATTAACTAAAACATGCTTTCTATCAAGACATGAAATAATTTATTTTCTTCACTTTTATTTGAAAGAAAAATATGTGTTTTAGTTGTATGAACTTAATTTTTATAAAATTTTGAAATTACAATATAAAGTAGTGTAGAGCTATTTGACATTTGTTTATGTTGATGGTGCAATATTGTTTCAAAGGTAAATCTTTTTTTTAGGAGTTTTTTATTGAGAAAATCATTACCGATTAGCTTGTAGCACATTTGGAGTGATTGGAGTGGAAGTGATACTGATTTCTTTTCGTTGTAAGAGTAGTGGGACACTCTTTTGAGATAGGATTTGATGAGGAGGTTGGAGCAATAAAGCTGGTAGTAGCTATAGGTTGTGGCCGATCGGTGAGGAGCTAGTCAAGAGCTTGAATCGTTGGAATGTCCTCAAAGACATTGGATACCACTATGTCACAAAGATTTTTATATGGTCAAAAAGTTCCAAAATACACTTGGAACATCTTTACTTTTTCAAGCTTTTCAACAAGGTGACGAGGCAACTCATATGGGTTATCATAGCCATTTTTCACAATCAAGTTAAAGCAAGTGCTCTTGAAAATTTTTTCAGTTGTTTTTTCGATTGTAGGGAAGTCTCGCTTGTTTATTCTTGTCATCAACAACACGATTAACTTTGAATGCGAAAGCATAAGATTTCTTTAATCTTTTTGTTATACAAAGATAAGATGATGATGTAATTTTTTTTTTTTTTGGGTAAATAAGCATTGAGATATATGTATATAGGCATATTTTGTTCTCTTTTTTTTCCCAAATGAAGAGCTTTAACCTCACCATGGAATTGGAGCCTTATTCCTTTATGGGTGGTCTTGGCAATTGAATATGTTTTCGATTTCCTAACTTTTTTGTTGTAAGTAGGGCAAGATTTGTACCCCCAACTCCATTGCAAATCATAGTCAACTATACTTACTCTACAGGT